TATCTACCTTTAAATGTCTACTATGTATTACATGTATTGGGGAAACATCTAAATTAGGTGCTTTTCCCAGTGGAAATAGAAAACATACAAAACTCTTCTACCATTCCTGGAAATGAAACATGATGTCTGTTCTCCTGGCTGGGGATGAAGATGCTTCTGTTTCTTCCAAGGAAGACCCCTAGAAAGAAGCCTCTTATCTCTGGGCAACGTGGTGGCCATAGTAATCAAGAGAAAACTCCCAAGAGAAAATAAAACCTAGGAGGAAAGAGTCGGCATGCCCTTCCTCTGCCTTCCCATCCCTGAGTACCCGAAGATTCTTTCTTCAGCTCTCCTTTCCTGGAAGCTTGAGTGGGGTAGGAGGAAAAGCAGAGCTAGGTGCCATTTTAATGAAGAGCATATTTGTTTCCCCCATTTCTGACCTTCCCTGATGGCACTCCAGAATTCCAATCCCACATGATTAACAAGGTAGTTTCCCTTTCTGTTTGAAGGTCCATTCTCCTCTCAATTTAAAATAGTTTTTGAGGTACAAAACTGCATTTCCCCACAAGAACTAGTTCCCTCTTTTTAGAAGGAAGTGCTACTGTCCTTCTCTCAAGCCACCAAGCTTAAAAACTCAAGATGACCAAACAGCAAAGATGGCAGCCTGCTCCTCCATCTGGGAGTTCTGGCCCAGGGAGTTTTCAAATTTCTGTAGGCTGGAGAACACCAGCGGGAATGGCTGGAGGCCCCGGTTGGCAGGTTCCACCCCGTGAAAAGGAACGAGATTGGAGATCTACTTTATGAAGCTGTATGGTCATGCTTTCATGGAGCAGCTGTGTGCTGTGCTGGGGTACCACTTCCACCCTAGTCTACTCAGCATCTCCAAAGCCCACAGGCTGGAACATCTACAGCATGGAAGATGCCCACCCCTCTCTTTGGGAGCTCTCTATTTAAAAGAAGATATACATTTGGCTAACAATCCTATGAAAAAAAGCTCAACATCACTGATCATTAAAGAAATGAAAATCAAAACCACATAGGATACCATCTAATACCAGTCAGTATGACTACTATTAAAAAGTCAAAAAATAACAGATGCTGACAAAGTTGTAGTGAAAAAGAAATGTTTATACACCATTGGTGAGAGTGTAATTTAGTTCAGCCATTGTGGAAGATACTGTGGCAATTCCTCAAAGACCTACAGACAAAAGAAATATTCGACTCAGCAATCCCATTACTGTGTAGATACCCAAAGGAATATGAATTATCCTATTATAAAGACATACGCACATGTATGATCATTGCAGCACTATTTATAATGGCAAAGACATGAAATCAATCTAAATGCCCATCAATAATGGACTGGATTTTTAAAAAATGTGATACATATATACCATGGAATATGACAGCCATAAAAAAGAAAAAGATCATGTCTTTTGCAGGGACATGGATGGAGCTGGAGGCCATTATCCTTAGCAAAATAACACAAAAACAGAAAACCAAACACTGCATGTTGTCACTTATGAGTGAGAGTTAAATGAGGAGAACACATGGACACATAGAGGGGAACAACACACACTGGGGCCGACTGGAGGGTGGAGGTTAGGAGGAGGCAAAGGATCAGGGTGAATAACTAATGGGTACTAGGCTTCATACCTGGGTGATGAAGTAATCTGTACAACAAACCCCCATGACATAAATTTACCTGTGTAACAAACCTGCATATGTACATAAAATGAGTTAAAAAATAAAATAAAATAAATAAAAACTCAAGAGCAGCTTGGCTGTCACTATAATTATTGTTATTTAGTTTACTTTTTTATTGAATGACTCCTTCATGCCTTGATTCATTTCCATTTTAATTCCTACCACTCCTCATTTATTCATGTTCAGCTTATTGAAACCTATTTCCAAGGAGCTCTCCTGCCATCATGTTCCCTATGCTCTAATCTGCCTGCACACTGTGCCCTGGAGCAACCCCCAAAAGCATGGATTTCCACAGCTTGGTCAGAACCGTTTTGAACCTCCTGCTGTCTAGCAGCTGAAGACTAAATCCCTTTAAAGCTTCCACAGCCAACCTTATTCCAGAATTATCATCCAAAATCCCCTAGAATACCCTCCATAGAATACCCAATATCCCTCTTTTCTTTCCAGCTGCACATAAAAACAGCCCATTGAATTTCACTTCCTAATTCTTGTGCTTGATATTCCCCCTACTTCAGTGTTTCCCAAACTTCAGGCATTCTGATACCTCATCATGATTTCTCCATTACCAATTGCCACCTGAACTACTTTTTACTTAACATTTTCTGTAAATTCACTCTTATTTTTGGTAAGATAACTATTTAAAAGGTTAATTTTTATTAGTACCATAAATGAAAAAACTGATACCTATTTTAATAAATAGGCAATAACTACATATAAATGTAATTGTAAGGGAGTAATTGGAGTAATTAAATTAAACCAAGTACTTTTTTACTGCTAACATTTATTGCTTATCTTGTGAGGGTCTTAAGGAAGCTTAAACAAGTGTTCAAAGAATTTTAAGTCATATCAAAAACAACAAAACTTATTTCTGAAGAATTGAAAGTAAGTCAAAAAATACAACTTTCTCAATCTGTCATCTTAACGTTATTGATCAGTCCATATGCTCCCTAAAATCACTTAATGTGCACAAAGTTTAGAAAACATTGCTGTACATGAGATACTTTCATTACCTCTTCCTACTGATCTCAAGTCTGCACATTTTTCCAGGCCTGCCTAAAGTTCCACCACCTCCCACAATGTCCTCTTGAAATTCAGGGCACTGTGATTGCCCCTTCCTCTGACAGCCTGGGTACACCTCTCTTCTGTGTTTTAGGAAGTCACTCCACTCTGCTTTTGAGTGTCTCGTATACAAGTTTTCAAGTTTATTATTTTTCTGGTCGCCAGTGATTATAGTTCAAAGAAAGGTTTATGGAGGTATCTTTTAATCCCGATACTAGGCATGACACCTTCTGTGGAGTGACTCTATGAACAGCATGAATGACTGATGAATTTGCACTTCCTCTCTTTAACAATTTATGAGGATATATCTCTGCTAGTAGATTAGGATTCCCTCGAGAGCTGCGCGTGAGTTTCTTCTAACCTCTAGACCCAGCCCAGTGGGAGTATATTGCAGGACTGCTAGAAATCTTTATCAAATGAACAAATGACAGTTCCTAGAGACACTGTACCGTAGGCAGCATTTGACAGCCAAAACAGGGCTGCCCTTTTAGAAGTATACTGTGTTCAGGGCCTCTGCAGCTTTCCTCCTCTTTGGAGAATTGCAAGTTTCATTCTAACGCTACCCTGGACTTGCTGACATAGTGTTTACATTTATTAATATAGGGCATATCACATACAAATCTCTGCACACTCAACTTAAATGCCAGTTGTTATCACCTTCAGTTATCACCAAATACCATAAGGGATGTTTAGTCTTAATAGACCCCTAGGCATATCTGTGGTCTTTCAAGAAATAATTCTCTAAAAATTCAACAGACATGTCTTCAAGTTCAAAATCAGTATAATTCCAAAATGTCTTTTGTCCTCCAAATCAGCGAATAAATTTTAAGATAAGATAGTGTTTAACAAACTTTGCCTTGGTAGTTTTAATTATCTCTAAAACACAAACAGATAAAAATATTCTATTTGTAAATTAGCTACAAGGAAGGTGAGAAAACTGGAATACATTTGCTTCAAGTTTTAAAAATGAGTCATAATAAACTTTCAAGCAAATTATAACTAATAATTATGACTTCATAATTTCTTGATTCTGTATACTACTGATGAAATCATATTAAAAATCACTCATAAATAAAAGAAAGTAATGTAATTAAGTTAAGGGGGGCATAAAAGAATCGCCACTGAGGTAGAGACAACTTTAAGAATATACCTGAAATGCAACATTGTCACCTAGTAATTGCTATGTAAAAACCAGACACTAACATAGATAGGTCAATATCAATCCCAAATTAGACCCACTGAATATAGATTCAAGACATGTTTAGGGAATTAGGAAGACCTTTAATAAATAGAAGGTATTGAAATGTTCACTACATGCTTTTTGATCTTAAAAATAAATAAAGATTTTTAAATCTATTTGTATTAATTGTGGTTAAAAAAAAAAAACATACAATTTACCAGCCTAACCATTTGTAAGTATTTATACTTACAAATTGTAAGTTCAATAGTATTAAGTATATTTAAATTGTTGTACAATCTCCAAATGTTTTCATCTTGTAAATTGAAACTTTATATCCATTAAACAACTCTCATTTATTCCTCCCCTAGCACCCTGGCAACTACCATTCTACTTTATTCTACTTTTCATTTCTGTGAATTTCGCTACTCTAAATACCTCACGTAAGTTGAATCATCCAGTATTTGTCTGTTTCTTTGATGCTTTCCAAGCTTAATTGAAACTTAATTAGGATAAAGCCAAGTTATACTCCATCATTTATCGTCTAACTACCTATTCAGTACAAAGCACTGTGCTAATTTCATGCTATTGACCTAATGAGGTAGATTATGTACACTTTACAGATGAGGAAACTGAGACTTTGCAAGGTGAAACATCTTGTCAATGGCCACAGTGGGGCTCTGACTGCAACTTTATCTAACTTCAAAACACAGTCTTTTTAACACATCTGTACGCTTTTTGAAATATTTAAATTTTTCAGGGGATATCAGCCATCGACATATTTGAAACAACTCAGAATCTTTTGTTTTTGCCTTTGATGGTTAATGTCACATGGGTTCCTCCTTTTTAAAAATAAACTACTTTATTCTAAACCATATCTCAAGGTATTCTGTCTTGAGGTTTATTCTAACACATGTCCCATAAGCCCACAGAATACCACTTACCTTCCCTTTATTTAAGCCGGCTTGATTTGTTAAGCAGTTGGTTTGTTAAATTTATCTGGAAATTATATAACTTCCTAGTGAGTACTACGTATCAACAGTGAAAGGAATATTATTTGTTTAAAAGCAACACTTACATTTGCGGAAATGATCCCCAGCTTCTTCAGTTCAGACACATGGTATTAGTGAATAGAAGTCACTCTACCAAAATTAGGTACTCTTCAACCATGCCTTGCTCCGTAGGCAGGCAGGCACCTGCACCCCTGCTTCCTCAGCCACCTGGGACTTGAAGTTCTACCAGTGTGGCTCCAAGGCAGCCAAACCAGAAACCTTGAAAGGTAAGAGAACTACGATACCCACAATTCAGACTGCTCACCTGAAACCAGAAGAGGGTGTTTGGCTAGAGTTTCACCCTAAGAAGAAAGGAGAAGCAGGTGGAAAAGCAATTTAAAAAATCAGGTGGGTATATCTAAGAACAATCTGTAAATGTAATCCTATCTCTATGAAAGGAAATAAAACTGGTTTAATGTTTGTCAGGGAATAAGCCTCATTGTTGGCAATAACCAAAAAATCTTTATGCAAACAAATCCTCATGCAGCCAGAACCTGCCCCACCAGATTCTCTTTCGGTGATTCAGAGCTAAAGGCACTTCACTGCCCTGTGAAACAGGTGAATGAAGGCTTCCTGGGCGAGTGACAGTGTCTAACTAGTTCCCCCTACATCAACACTGTGATTGTCACTCAAAGACGCTATAGATACAATGGAGGCTGTTTGACATTTCATCTTCTAAAATGCTCTGGATTTTTAAAAGAGCATTTTAAAATGTAAGCAAGAATAAACTTTTCTTGATATTTTCTTTCATTTTACTTTCCATTTCTGTATTTTGTGTTTTCCTTCTGTATATTTCAGTATTATTTTGTTCAAAATTCAGAAAGAGAAAATCAGGGCGAAGGGGATAAATAGTAAAACTTAGGAAAATGAAATGTGCAATAATTGCTTTACTTTTTTTGCAACATCAGCGACAGAATGTTAAAAAGAAATGTGCTTCTCAATTTGTTCATACAGCATCTCTCTCTCTCTAGCCTATTATTTCCTGTTAGACACATTCCAGAAAAATGAATAGAGACACGCCCTGGCTTGGTCTGGGTTCAGAAACATAATAGAAGGATTCATCTAAAGTAAGGAGATGGTAGAATGGTGACAAAGAAAAAGTTTCCTTTCCCTTTTCTGCACTTTCTCTCTTACCGTTCTAACTGCCCCTTCCTCCTTAACGCGTCCAGTCCTGGGGCTTCATGCCGCCCAAATCACCGAATCCACCCAGATTCCCTTTGAAGTTTCCCCTTGAGTCATCCGACAATCCATACTAAGCTGCTCTGTTTCTCTTTGTCACAGTTCCTCAACTCTCTACTAGAGCCTAACTTTCATTTATGTCATTATATTCCTTCCAAAACAAATGGTTCTTAATTTCACCAAACCCTACAGGTGGCATTCTGCATGCTGTTTCTCCTCTCTGAAATCATCTTTGCTCATCTTTAAATGTTCAGAAATTTCCTTTTTTTCAAAGCTCAATGAAAAACACTCTTCACCAAGATGCCCTCCTCAGTCTGTCTTAATCTGGGTTGTTCTCTTCCTCCTTATCAATTCCATAATATTGTATCTGCTCCTCTCATAACACATTGTATATCTCATTTCATTGGTTTACGTGGGTGTGTGTGTACATATGCAGTCTTACATTCCTATTTGAAGGCAAGACCTTATTGTATCTCCACCTCATTAACTCATTAATGTACATGTAGATGTTTGTGATAAACAAGCAATGCATAAAATAACTGAGATACTAACTCTGAGGTGCGTGTGTGTTAATGCCTAATGCCATCTTTCTCTCTCCCAGAAAACATTTACATTTAAAGAAATCTCTAAATGCCATACATAAATACTGTTATCAGAATCCCCCTGCAGTCTAGTCTGGTGTGGCTTCCACAGCTTTTATCTGCAGAAAGGCAACGTATTGAATCTAGCAATTCAGTCCTTGTCAATACCCAAAATGAAAGCCCTATTAAGTCAGCACTCACTGTTTTACCACCTCCAGTCCCTGATGTGCACTTGCTTTCCTAACAGCTTCCCAAGGACTGGGCTCCCTATAATCCTCAGTCTCGTGGTCTTGGAGACCTGGCCCTACCTCCATCTATGATTTTTTATTATCAGCATTTATGGATCCCTTCCCCTATTATCTAATCTACCAGCTCTAAAAATTGAACTTTGCTCTTTGGACTATTTAAATAGTTCTTAACCACTGATGTCCTTCACCCAGGGAAGGGAATTATTTCAACAGTTGCTAGTTCCTCATACCTCTGCCTCTACGGGATTCTCCTGGTCCCCAAATGCTCTGCTGTGTCTTCTAGATATCAGCCACTGTGGAGAAAGTGAACATTCTAGATCCTGCCAATTCATACAATGAGTTTTGTATGGAGCATCAGACACAAAGGCTGACTGGTGAAGGTAACTGTTGTCTGGAAAGTTCTCCCAGCTCTCCTCTACTTATCTCATAAGGACCAGTGGCCCCTTAGCCTGCTTGTGTGAACATCACCAGCTATGTAAAGTTGGGCCGTTAGCTCATCCTCAGCAGATGGCTCAGGATGACTTTCTTAAGAAAGTCTCTTCTGACCTCCTTATCCCTACCGTGTTTCTTGTACTGACTTATGCAACAGTCACAACCAACATAGAAGCTGAAATTCCAGTGACTCACTGTCCCAGCTGCCCTTGTAGATCAGGAAGAGGCAAAGCAGTTAGAATGGCAATCAGACACAGCTCTCTGGGGCCAGGAATTAGGAACTGGTGACGTAAAGAAAGAAGGACAGAAGAGAACCCACTCTATAGTGAGCAAGGCAGCTGTGCAAACAACATGCTGTTCCGGATGTGACTGTGGTGGCTGTGGGGTCCAGGGTCCAGGGCTCATGGTACTGCTCATGCAAATTGTGGTTCCTAGGCCTTAGCAGAAACAATGAACCTGTTCAGTGATATTATTTTGGCTGCTGCTCTGGCTTTGTAAGACATGTGCCTGATTCTTCAGCGATTCTTCAGCAGTTCTGGGACTGGAGTTTAGTGTGCTGCTCTTCACTTTAGATCTGCCACAGTCATTTGATATTGCTTGAAGCTAAAAACTCTGAGTGGTACCTACCTGTCACACAGCTCTTACCACATTGTCACTACCTACCCAACTAGATTCAGACTCCATCAGATCAAGGACTGGATTTTATTTATCTCTAAATATCCTAAATCTCCACAGTGCCTGGCTATAGTACATATATATTTTGACCTAAATTGAATGGATCAATAAAATGAGGAAGTCTCTCTTAAAGTTCCTTCTAACTTAAAATGTGTCTGACCACATGGAAGCTGTCAGGTTGCTCATGAATGCAGAGTTAATACTTTTCCCTTAACTAGGTTTAGAATTTAGACTCTACCCCTTCTCTCTATCTCAGAGGGAACAGAGTTAGTGATTTCCTCCACTGGAGAGGGAACTCAAACACAGAAGCTATTGTTTTTTTATTTTATAATCAAAAGAGTTTTTTTTTCCTTGTTTTGGTTTTTTTTTTTTTGTATCTTTTAGTGGCCTGTATCATATGTTAAAGTCACTCATGTTCGGCCTGTATAATACAAATACACCAGAAAGAGTGATAGGAAACAGCATATTCCCCCACATGTTCAGATTTTTCTCAGTATGACATTATCTTGGAAAGAGAAAGGCCACATTTGCAAGCTTAGAAGAAAGTTCCCCCTGGAGTTTTTACTCTGTCCTGTTTCAGTATGTATTGCCTCTCAGAACCTGGGCGGCTATGACATCCGTTTTCTGGGTCACTTTGTCCCTGAGTCATTATCATCCTGTAACTTTCTGAAAACATTTGACTGTGCCATTTACAAGCTAATTTCAGTGAACAGCTTAAATCATAGTAAAATGTTAGGGCCAGAGTAAATTTAGGTCACAATAATTTTATTTCCCTAGATTAAGAAAGAGAGCCAAGTTGTTGTAACAATTTCATACTTTCCTTCATTACATCTTTTTGGAGCTTTACTCAACCGTAAGATGAATTATCCATAAATTGACCCCCACAAAGCTGTGGTTTAGATGTTCATCACTGTTTTCTTTCATTTGTTGCTTTCAGGATAACATGCACAGAAATATGGGCCAACTCTTCACATGAGCACAAGATATTTCCATGCTACCTTTTTGCAAGTAATCAACAACAGAGAGAGCTCTGTGCAGTTTTCACTGGAATGCCTATGGATTACCTGTGTCATAACTGTACTCTAAAGAGTTGACCATTTGTTGAATCCTCCCTATTTGTATTGGTAGAATTGGCACTATCAAACCAAGATCATTCTTTGGAAAGATCTTTAGCTGTCTTTATATCAACTTCTCTGGAGCTTATGTGATTTTCCAGAAAATTTCCAAGACATAATTTTGTCCCTAAGTCCCATGAATATGTAATATTTTGTGTCTCTCTATTAAAATAGCACTTTTGTGCATTTCATTAACAATATATGTGTATATGTTGGTGTGTGGACTAGCATATCAACTACTTCACCCACTTCAGTGGGAAAAATAATTTACTTTTAGTTTCTAGAATACCAGATAGTAAGTAAGTTCTATGAGAATGGAATATCAATGTTTAATTGTATTCTATAAAGCTCACAATCTAGAAGCCCAAGACAAGGGGGTGGCAGATATTCCTAATTCATTTCCAAATATGTTTAGATAATAGGCTTCATTATATATGTATATATATCTTACACATTTTACACAAGAGAATGTCAAATTTTTTAAAAATATTAACATCTATTCACATACTGCTATGTTCTGTGGACACCATCAGCGGGATTTTACAGGAGTAGTTAAATTTTTCTGACAATTGTAAACTCTGTAAGAAAGAAGCAGCATATTTTATATCCTGGGAATATTCTCTCTTATTTTGCATGCTTCTAATAAGTATTATACCACAGTGAGCTCTATTCTCTAACTTGAGATTAAAAGGTTGAATACAGAGACACAGATAGGTTCACTGACAAGGGGCCAAATCCCAATGTTCTCTGACATAGATGAGGAGTGCTTTAAGTTACCCATCCAATACCCCATAAGAATTTCCACTTCGGATGACAGAGTCTGCATGAGGCTGGCTTCTTACATTCTCACACATTCTTTTGGTGCTAACATATTCGTTCTAACTGCATTAGCTTTCAATTGCTGCTGCAACAAATTACCACAAATTTAGTGGTTTAAACCACATGAATTTAATGGCTTTAAGTTTTGGCAGTCAAGAGACTGCCACAAGTCTCACTGGGCTAAATTCTAGGTGTCAGCAGAAGCACTTCGTTCTTTCTGGAGGCTCTAGGGGGAGAATCCATCCTCTTGCCTTTTCCATCTTCTAGAGGCTACCCACATTTCTTGGGGCAGATCTCTGTTTCCCTCTTCAAAGCTAGCAGCAGAAGGCTGCATGCTCTCATGTCATATCTCTGATCCTTCACATCTTTCTCACTGACTATAGCAGGAAATCCTCTCCGCTTTGAAGGACTCATTATT